GAAGGAAGGAAGGAAGGAAGGAAGGAAGGAAGGAAGGAAGGAAGGAAAGGAGGGAGATTATAATGAGTGTGAGGGAGGGCCTCAGGGAAATCCTGCCTTAGCACTTGGCCACAAGTGTCCCCGACACAAGTCCTGTGTCATGCCCACCATAGCCACGCCCATCCCTGGTCATGCCCCAAGCCATGCCCCCCCCCCCGGCCCTCGCAGGTCAAACACAACCCAGATGCGGCCCTCAATGAAACTGAGTTTGACACCCCTGCCTTAGATGTTATCAGGAAAGGCCTCCTTGGTCCATCTAATTCAGGGGTCTTCCAACTTGACAGCTTTAAGACGTGTGGGACTTCAACTCCCAGAATTCCTCTGCCAGTCACGTCAGCTTAGGGATTCTGGGAGTTGAAGTCCACACGTCTTAAAGCTGCCAAGTTTGAAAGCCCTTGGCCTAACTCTCTGGGCTTGGTAGAGAGCCCAAGGCTTCGGGCATTGCCAGGAGCTGCTAGGGGCTCTGCTAATTGGCTGCCTGCTTCTGGGCCTCTGGGCTGGAGTTGATCTTTAGATACTGGAGCCGTTTGGACCGACGCTGACCAAAAACCCAAAGAGGAGTGAGAAGGAGGCAGCCGTGATGTTCAACAAAACTCGTCCCTTTGCTGGAGGTGTAACTAAAAGATTTCTTTTTTCTTTCTTTCCTCCGTCGACCTCTGGGGGAAGCCAACGGCCTTCGTCACACAGCCGTCCCGCTAGCCAAGGATTTCCAACAGGAAGGGAAGGCGAGGGATGCGGCTCACCGTCAGCAGATGACGGCCTTGTTTAAAGTCTTTGATCCCGGTCAAGCGGTTCAGCATGCAGCCCAGACCGCCGCACTGCGCCATGACTCCCGCCATCTTGTACACCTCTTCCTCATCCTCCTCTTCATCTGGGGGAAAAAAGAAAAGAGGCCTTCAGGAGAGGAACAGGAGAGCATCAACAAGGCCTGGGGAAAAGACCCTGGCTCCTTTTTCCCGGGGCAGGCACAAGACTTTTCATTTCACAACACCTAGAGAGGTTTAACTAGAGTTTCAAGGGGGGAAAGGTGACCATCCTAGACCAGGCCAGGTCCAAAAATGCCAGGGGATCTCTAGGAGCCTGGCATTCTGCTCAACCAGCCATCCACGGACACGTAGACCTTAACAACATCTCCAGACGAGGCAAAAGGGACAGTCACACAGCCCCAAAAGGAACAAAAAGGCTCCAGCACCTCTCCCCCAGCAATCAGCTCACCAAATCAATAGAGATTAACTCGAAGGGTGACAGCGGACCGACAATCCAGTAAACAAAACCCCAACCAAGAAAATTCCCAAGAGCCATCAGTAAACGGCCCAAACAAAAAACCTCTCAGACTGCCCCCACCAACACGGACAGGGCAAGTCATCGGAATATAAACCGACAGCAAACAGCTCTCCTTACTAGCACTGATTATGCTGCGTAGTTGGGGTAATGAAACCTCTGCAGGAAAACAAGACAGCTCAAGACAGCACCAAGGACTCCACAATTCTCCT